TCGAACGTAACCTATTGATGCTCAGGTCATGAGAGCTGCCATATCAAATTGGTTTCAGAAAGAATTAACTCCTCTTGTCAAACCTGCTGATGAGCTGCCTCTGTCATGCTCTAGTCGGCAGTGAGTAATGCTAAGATTGTCCGATCACCCCGAGTGAAGACCCAGTAACCATCCTGTTAACATCAATAATATTAATTCCAAGTTAAAGTCACATAAATTATTAATCTTTTTGAGCTATATTTTACTTACTGGAAAATGAGAGGAATTTTAGTAGATATAACTTAAACAGAATTAGTTAATAGCATTTGACCTTTAGCACATATTTGGAGGTTTTGGTAAATTATACTGTTTATGAAATTTTCAATAGTTTCCTGCAGCAGATTCGAGTTGTGGACGAAATTGTTCAATAATACACATATAGGAACGTGCACCTTCTTCCACTCTTAAGTGGGCGTGTCCCGGGGAGGTGTGAATCGCGTTAACACCCAATTCACCACTGTAGGTGAGGAACGACCTCAGAAAATTTCTACATCTTTTCTCAGCAAAATCACTAACGGCGGCGTTAACAAGTTCCGTGTAAATTAGATTTCGCACAAGACCACTCTCTGAGTTGGGCGATTATTATTGCATTGATAGATTCACACTAGTTTTGAAGTTCACGTGTAAAATGTGATCTATTCTACGTATATAGGAAACTCTACCAGAATTACAAATCTTCTCGTATGTTCTATAACTGAACTCGTGGCTACTTATCTGGAGATATTCATTAGTGAATCCGTTGCCATGCTCTCAACTTAAGCGGCTTGCCTGAGTGCAGTTTTTTGAATGACACACTAGAATATACACTGAATTCTTGACTGTAAATAAGGCGAATCTACTGAAACTCGACTCGAATACATTTCACAAGCCTGAGAGACAAATTCCTCTTGATGGCGGGCTTGCGCTAGTGGAAATTGCAGTTATTTGAAACATATGTGGGACAATCAGACGGTGTGATTCATGAAACATCCTGCCTATCAGAATTTTGTACAATCCGAATGTAAATCTCAATGTAACGGACACGCTGGTAGGCAGACAATTCTGCACCGCATATTAGTAACATTTTATTGCTGCAAAAACTTTTTCAAAGGACATGCTATTTGTTCAAAATTCTTCAAGGGTTCTTTAAATTTTCAATATGGAAACTATTCACACTATATGAGATTTCGTCATTCAGACACAAAATATACATGGTTTGTTATTATGTTAAGTGATACTTGAAAATGAGTCAAAACGAGAACAGAATCGATTACAGATTACTGGTTTGAGACTTGCCATTGAACAACAGAAACCTCTTTCGGTTTGAAGTGAATGTCTCAGCAGCTCCAGTTGACGTCTTACTCTATCAATAGTCTGGTTGGAGCTAGCATGTTTTATATATCAGATACTTCCTAGTTAACAGCTGTGAAAATCCACATATTAGCACAAGCCCTGGTGGAGGCCCGGGTTACTTAGTTTGACTAACTTAGGCAGTTCCTACCATGAGTGATAAGATAGACATTAAATACAATCGTGTGGTTAGGTAAAAGGAACCGTGATTCTGAACTTCAAGGCCCCAGGGGCTACAATATACTGTACACAATGAAGCTTATGCCGTATAAGTGCATGTAGTTTTTACGACTGATAAGGATTTATTCAAATATAAAAAGTTCCACATTTGGTTCTCATTATAAAAACAAAATATATCAAAGTACTTCTTGTAACGGTCATGTTGATGTTAAATTATATACATGTAAACGACCGGCCTTGAAAACAGAGCACAGTAAACCAAAATTCGTTAGGGTTCACGAATTTCTATGAACACTTCATAAGCAGCACAGCGTAACACCTTGATACTCAGTGAAACTAGAGCTGACAGATTCATGTTTTGTGATGCAGCATCGAACTTAGCGCGTTGCATGCACTACTCAAAATGTGTTATGCGACGAAAGTGGTATGAAGCGGCTAGAGGAATTCTTTGACACTTGCTCTGAAAATATGTTTGGTCTAAAGGGAGCTCTTAAACACTAAGACTAAAATGGACTGAGTTCTAAGTAGTCCCTATTCGCGGTGGTGGCCACACTCAACCTGAGCTGAAAATAACAGCTGTTGTTATATATTGGTTAGCCTAAAATTGTAGAGAAGTTCATTTCTGTTTGTAGATTTTGGGGCATGTTTCACCATCAATAACGTTATCGAGCGAACAGTTAGCAACTGCCTCAAACTTTCGCTTATCACCAGACTACTCCTTACCAACCGGTGACCGTTTACAAATATCTGGGCCTTCTTAAATGTTATATTAAACTAGTAAACAACCAAAAAACAGTTGATCAAAACCTTATGCTTCACACTGGCGATATACTCGTTTTTACTCTGTCAGAAGACTTCGTTCTCGAATCAGACTACATGTCTGTATCAAACATACTGCTGTTTGGTTTGCAGCTATCTACCTTTTTAGACCACTCAGCTTGAAGATAATTTTGCAGTTCCTTTCTATAGTCTTACCACAAAACCTAAAACCTATATATTCGTGTAGTACCTGCTTTAAATACCAACAAATATGACCCCAACAGTAATGAACCGTCAACAATAAAACAATGCCGATCGTCTGCTGCTTACCACAATCTGGTTCAAGCATAAGTCAATGAAGTCAGCCAGAGGGAAGAACATTCTTGAGTTAACTAATCTGTTTAACCATCCAGCATGACTCATTCCCAACCAGTTGAATCACTGGAATTTTATAAGTTAGGGGAATTTAGTAATAGCTGTGTTCACGTGATTCCCTGTCGGATACTGTGGGAACAGCACGGCGGAAAGAAAAACAATCCATATCATTGCTACCACTATTAATGACCATACGGACATACAGTCTGATGGAACAAAGTAAAATTAGAGTGTAAAAATAAGAGCACAGATCGAACCCAAAGAAAAAGGCATGAAACTGACACACAAATGCCTTGTCTAGCGGCTCTTGTACTTCTGTAATTGAGCCATAAACCACAATTAGGCAGATATATTCGACAACGCTGAGCATTATGGAAATGTCTGATCTCCAAAGAACCCATGATATTGAGCGAATTTAACCGCCAAACCATGTTTAAGGTTGACAGTTAGTCACATTTAACGTCATTTCAACACTTTGATGCCTATTAGTTTTACGTATGTCAGGAAATAATGGACTAATACACTGTCATCTTAAACATTGACATTTCACATGACTATCTTTATTCTGTGGTATATTCTCTTTTTGGAGGGTAAAAAGCGGGAGTTGTAAAGCAGAATTACTGAAACGGACTCCTCGCTTACCTGTACTCGGGATTCTGTCAGCCCTATACGCAGCGCCAATTCTTCCCGCATAAATATATCTGGGTAATGAGTTTTCGCGAACGCCCTTTCCAGTTCTGTCAGTTGAATCGGTGTGAATCTGGTCCGATGACGTTTCTGTTTCACACAGGCTACAACCGCTGCGGCTGCTGCGGCCATTGCAGCAGCAGCGGAAACGGTTTCATCAGAAGTCCGACGTTTTTCTGACTCCACTACTTTTGAATCCGAGTCATCACCGGCGTTGCTCATCGAGTCGACGGATAGAGGGCTACCATGATTGGCTCTATGACAGCCATCAAGCTGGAAGTGGGTATGTGGAAAATTATTGCAGCGAAGTTCCATTTGGGCGTGAAAGTCGGAGAGGAAAGCATCGGAGTTTTCACTCAAGGCCAGACCGTTCTCTTTTTCAACGGAAAGGACTTGCGATAACTGGTGATGAGGATGATTGTGATGCTGTTGATTCATTTCACTTAAACGATTCATTCGGAGCTCATAGTCTCCTGAACATTCATCCATCGTCCTGTTCAAGAAGCAGCATTGGTCTGGAACTGTTTGGCTACAGTCATCTTCTCTCTCAGATTCAAGTTTCTCTGTCTGAAATTGAACAGAACATCTATCGGATGTTTGCACCTGGTTTCGTTCAATCCCGAAAGATAGTGACTGAAGGTGAGAAAATTCAAAATGGTAGAAAAATGAATCAACTAAGTTACAGCAAAATAAAAAATTTTCGATGCAAAATATGAGAATACCAAACTAAAATCGGCTGTTAATCATTATCAGTAAAACAGCTTAGGTTTTGGAACAATACGTATGTGATGTAATGACCGATAAATTCGTATTCCCTGATTCTAAGGACTTTTGATATCTGTGCGTAAAGTGCTGGGTTTTTATTGCAGTGTGTGATCGGTAATGCGACACATTGTCGGTGATGTGAGAACTGTTCTACGGACAATCATTGATCAATCCGTATTAGACCAAACTCAAAACATCTGTTAAAACTGCAGTTTGGAGGGTTGGTTCCAAAGCAAGCCTAACGTATTTTTTATATTTGACAAGAAAATATGTGTTCCGTTGCACACTGAAGGGTGTGGCAAATAACACTAATACGGGTACAATCAGTGTACTACAATGGATTTCAAGTGTTGCACGTAATCAAAATTCGAATGTATACGTCCGTATCAATTATTTGTAACCTACCTTTAATTTACTCATCTGGAACATTGTTTGCATGACTTTGATTGTGGGGATGTGAACCGCCGGTTTTTCAGCACGGACTGTATGAATAACAACAGACTTCCGTTGCTGCTTAGTCAAATGATTAGTACCATAACCTCTGAACGGTAGCAGTGGAAGTGCTACTTTCTTTAAACTGTTGGTTGAACGACAAATTTGAACCCCTTCAACAATTATTTCAACCAACTACTATCCTGAAATACAAGTATATACAAAATAAACGTTTGTATTTCTTTACAACTCGTCATGTATTGCCCGTCTGCAGTGAAGACTTGTAGAAACACAGTGAAAATTGCTCATATCAGTCGTTCGTTCTCCTCCTTGAAATCTGCAATGAAACATTATCGCTTCAAATAAAAAATGTATTACTAATAATCAGTTTGGCAGATTTGTGATTTTAGATGAGACCCAACTGTGAAAAGTTAGGGCTTCGGCTGGATTCGAATCAGCGACAGAAACCTCATGTCTCAATGCGGCAAGCGCTATACCAGCTTAGTTACGAAGCCAGGCCAGTAGCTCGGAAATTTCACATTTGGACTTGGTTACCCATCCGTCCCACTGTCTCATATGTAATTCACTAAATGATCCAGGGGATCGACTACCTCGGCAGGATTTCTCGAACAGTCCATGCTGGAATCCACCAATGCTACTGTTGAGCATAGAAATTGTATCACCAGTGAGTAGTTTACCAGATTTATTATTTTAGATGAGACTCAATCGTGAAAATTCTGGGCTCCAGCTGGGTATGGAAGAGCGACCGACACAACGTGCCTAACCGCAACAAATGTCCTACTGTCTGCTCCAAGAAGTCATAGCAAGAGCTCGGAAACTTCACACTTGGATTTATTTACTCTCCCCGCGCAATATATCTTACTGAAACTAAAAAGATGGCTAGTCAAGAAAGCAAATTGGAACGACGGACATTAAACGAGCCATTTCTACTAATCAACAAAAAGCGTGTGATTAGTGACCTGCAAACTAATGCCACTATTGATCATAGTGAACAGTCACCGTATTTAAATTAACAAAAGGAGTAGAGATGATCCTCATATTTGGAGCTTTGTAAAGAAGGTTTACAAAATAAACCAGGTATCTCTGACCGAAGAACTCGGCAAGGTATGTTGGTCTGATATCTCAGTGTGTCTATTACTCAGTGATCACTGGAAGTCTAGTGTTGACAGTGTTACTAGAGCCCTATTCGTGTATGTTCTCGCCAGGTAACCTAGACCACTTTAGTACTGCATCAGATATTTACTAACAGATAAGAGGTCAGCTTAGAACACGTACAAGTTGGAAAGTTGGACAAGCGTACAATGAATATCGTACAGCCAGCAACCGGGCCACAACAGCTGTGTAGGTCTACAAATGTCAGTGTCATTGAAGGCTGACCAACGAGTTTAGTATAAATCCAAAATTGTTCTAAAGCACTGCTTCCATCAAAAAAATCTATCCCCCAACCTCTCGTTTACACCAAACTTATGGGATGCCTTTCTCAAATAGAGAAGCAGATAACGACTTTGACAACAGGTAACCGAGTGTATTCCATGTCAGCTCCATGGAGTCAGTATATACATCTAGTAGCAGCACTGGAAATGTCAGGAGAACAATTAAATTCACACCACACATGCTTTGTTGTTAACTTCACTTTTCCTTTGTTACTAAAGGAGCTTGCGCAAAATTTTTCACGGCCACCCTGTAAAATTGATAATCGATCTTCCTAGGAACACAAGCTTCCAAAAGCCAGGAAGAAGTACACAGTGTTGCCTATCTTTAAGTGTGGTGATCGCAATGAGTCCACTAATTGCAAAGCAGTCTGATTGTTACAGGTTGCCACAAAGGCCATGGAGTGTTTAATCCATAGCTAGATACGTAAGCATTTTATTCGAGTTACACTGCTGTCTGAAAGTTAACATGATTTTTTGAAGGAATTCTGGTGCTACCAAGTTACTTGCTATTCAGGAAGATTTAACAAAGACGGACGATGAAGGCAAACCAGTTGTAGTTTTTCTAGACTTTTCCAAGGCTTTTGACCTATTAGACCATTCACCGCTCTACATGCAGCTGAAAAAATATGATATAGAAAATCCACTTCTATGACTTAGCGACTGCCTACAAGATCGCCGTTTTAGTGTGAAAGTAAACCGGGCTTTTTCAGATTGACATTATGTGACCAGTTGTGTTTTACATAAAACCTCTGCCCTTCGTCCTGTTCGCGCTAGAATTCCCAAAGCTTGTCAGTCCCCCCCCCGCTATTATAAAATGATGATACCAAAACTTGACGTATTGTATAAAGTGTAACCGGAAATGAGAAGCTACAGAACGTTTAAGGCGTATTACACCGCTGAGCTTCAAATAACCGTAAACCGTCCTCCGGGCTGCGCAGATTGTCTTCTGGGAAACAAAAACTGGGTGCCGTCACACACGATCTCAGCTAAGACACAAATATATCGAGTGGCATCAACCTGTTTCTCAACAGTGCGCCAACGTTCGAGAATGCCAACACAGTAGTTGGGTTACCCATCAGACTGATTGAACGGTTTTAGTCAGACCGTTTCATTATTATGTTCAGTTCGCTAGTACTCTCTTATCTTGGGCTAAATGTACTAGCTTATTGTCTTCATTGCGCGAATATTAGTCTTCCTGAGAAAGTAGAACACAGAACTATAAAACTGGTTACAGCATTACGTTCTCTAACCCACCCAATTGGGTTGAACAAGCCGGGTCAAATCTGAATAGGCAGTCGGCAAATCAGAGGAGAACTGATTTTAGTATGTAGAATTCTCTTCTAAACCCCACATCCCTTAGGAGGGATACTTGTGCAGTTAGCGGAAATAACCCCTTCAGGGTAAACTTATTAAAGCTACAACATCAAATACACCGTCTCACTTACAGACAACACTTTTAGCACCCGGCTATGCCTATTCTGAAACAACCTGTCAAAGTCTGTCGCAACTGCATCGCTCTTAGTCGAATTCAAGCGAAGACTTGATTTATATATTCGTGACACCTGACCGACTATTCAGATGACTATCATCAGTCATTGTGGTGAAATGAAGATTTTCTCAACATCTCACTTTTGATGCCAAACAACTGTTGTTTTCCGTATTTTGCACCGCGATCACTGGATGACTGATTGACGGTGGTTGTGTTTCTATTCCACTCATTATCCTCAGACTTCACTTTTCACTGCCTTTCTATTGCTAACCTTCTGAAACCGAAATTATCTTCCGATTTGCTTTTTTCTTCTAAAATATCCAGTACGGATTCGGATGTATATATAGGTTCTCAGCTTCATCTAAACTGTAAGTTGCGTATGAATCCTATGAAGAGTTAGAAATATTCTTGTCACCTTCCACGAATTTTTGCAACTTCGTCCATGTCTTGTTCAACACCGTAATATTCACATTCTAACCTTGACATACAGCGTGAGACGAGAAAACACTAGGTTTGTATGAACAAACAATGGCTTATCGAGATGAATTGACTTATTTGGTGGAAATATTTGAAACCATGCCTACTGTTTGTCATTTCGCTTTCCGGGTGAATTTTGATCCAGAACTCCAAGAAGGTAATAAGGCTGTAGATTTTGCTTACCTAGTTAGAATATCTTGTCTCTGTCTGCATGCTGGTCGCACGTTTAGGACTGACAGGATTTTAAAATCGCTTTATGTCTTCTAGCCAAATTTTTCAATTGTTTTAATGAGGTTTGGAGCATAAAACATGTTATTACTCTTTGGTTGAATCTGTCATTTTTAATAGAGAGGTTTTTAGGACGAGTGATAAGGTGACGGAATATTTAACAGCGGACTAAACCGATACTACTGTCGTGACGGTTAAGGTTATCAAGTGTTATCCATTAATGATATGCATTTTTCACTAATGTTAACAGAGACAATTGTGAATGGATATGTGTAATTATCATGTAGAAGTGTAAATTTCTTTGTTTAGCGGTTAAAAAGATTAAAAAATGAAGATTGTCTCATGATTGTGTTGTCTCAGCAAAGTCAGTTGATGTTAATTCCCATACAATGCATACAATGCATACAATCGTGCTATTATGTAACATTCTTACAATGTTTTTTATTCTTTATTCTTCTCACACAGTAGGTAGTTTAGCGAATTAACGAAATCATATGTACCAGTGAATCTAAATAACCTTTCAAAGTCTTTATAGCCAGAAGCTAGTTAGACTATGATATATCTATTAGAGGTGGCTAACACATTCTGCAATTCCTGTTTTACGATTAACTGGTTTTCTGTACCTGAGCAAAGTAGCCAAGGGGCGTTTTCTTACTCGCATCAATGAACTGGGGTTTATACACTAAGTGAACGGTTAACAATTATCTGTACACAATGCACCAGTTTTTCCTTATCAGTCGAGGAGTTGAGAATAGACGTGAATTCTATTTTCTGTCAGCCTTGATATTATCAATATTTCATAATGTAATGTTCCTTATTGTGACCACTTCACGCAGATCGGCCTTTACGAAGCCGAAAATCTAGTTTATATTTGCTTCAGACAGAGATTCTGTCATTTTTAACTCATGAACAGAATCAGATTAACAGAAAATATCACAGTTCAGCAATACATTTCAAACGAGATCCCACGGGATAGTAAGAAAATGATAAACAACCAAGCTTGCTTGGGTATGAACTATATGAACCGAAAATGTGCTCGCTTATAATCTTAGTATGCACCTAGTTATTGACCACTTTATTATGTCTGGTTTGATTTCCGAAGCGACATATAGGGACATACAGGCGATTACTCTAATATATGGTAGAACGCCGGAGAACTGTCTTACACATTTCATGAAAGTATAATTATAGGATCAGTTATAGCCGATATTAAAAGTTATTAGATTTTAAATGTTTTCAAATGAAATTCAAACTACCATAAACTCTAACGCTGTAGATTACAATAGATTTAGAAAACATGCGAAGTACTTAGACAGGTGACATGGTGAGAACCGTTCATACTTGTTGATTCATTGCGAAGGAATCCAAAGTGTTATACTGTTATAATGTACCACTGTATTGTATTGTTTTATTCAGTAATCTGAAATTACTTATTATAACTAAAGGTAGATCTCATAAATCTGACAGAAATATGATCCTGCTCAAATAATTTAATTCACTGGTAAGAAACTATCCTGTTATTTATTCGGTGGAGATGTAAAGATTTACCGCACCACAGTCAAGTATTATTTTCGCTGACAATAACCCTGTTCTAAACTTTTTTCAAGCGCTTATTTACAGAGAATTCCCTGATTCTGCGTAACGTTTTGCTAAATGGCAGCCGTGGAGCCTACTTCAATCCACCCCAACTTCTCTATTCAATAGCTGTGCTCATGCAACTTTTTGACCGGTTAAGAAACGATTGATTGTTGCATTGACAGGAAGTATGCGAGGAGGACAGCGACATGGTAAACTGGTCGAGGTCCACACCGGTCCATACTGTCACCGGCATTCCGCTTGAACAACGTTTACCAGCTAACTCGGTTTG